TATATATATATATATATATATATATATATATATATATATATATATATATTATATAAATAAGAGATTTCCGCCTATATATTGACTCGTCACGATATCTCTGGAACCATAAGGCGTAGAGACTTGAAATTTTGTAGGAATATTCCTTTCGCCGAGTGAAACTCAGCTGGGAACAGATTTTCCGAAATTCCACCCACAAGGGGGGTTGCGGGGGCGTTGACAATGGAAAATTCCCATTTTCAAACTATAGCTCCTATTGACTCCAAATTTAGTAGGAATCTCCTATATGTGATGTAGAAATGATCTACGGGCGGATTTTATGACAATCTACTCACAATATGGATTGCGAGGGTGGGCGTTAACAATGAAAATTAAAAATTTCCAAGCTGTAGCTCCTACAGATTCTTAATTTTGTATGAATTTTTTATAAGTGATGTAAAAATAATTAATGAACGGATTTTACGATATCCTACCCCACAGAAGGTTGCGGGGGAGGTTCTTAACAATGAGAATTTCAAATTTCTATGTTGTAGCTCCTATAAGCTCCAAATTTAATAAGAATCTGCTGTATCCAATGAGTTGAGACTAAGGAAACGAAAGTATTTACTAGAGTTATAGATTGAAATATAGATTAACTATAAAGTTGGAATACCAAAATGAAATCTTCTTCTTCTATATATATAAAGAAGACTTTCTACAGATATAGTCACTCATCACGATATCTCTGGAACTATAAGACCAAGAAACTCGAAATTTGGTAGGAATATTCCTTTCGCTGGGTAGAGGTCAGCTTAGAACGGATTTTACGAAATTCCACCCCCAAGGGGGGGTGCGGGGGCATTAACAATGGAAAATTCCTGTTTTTAAACTATAGCTCCTATCGACTCCAAATTTGGAAGGAATCTTCTGTAAGAGATAATCTTCTGTAAGAGATAGATGTAGAAATAATCTATAAGCAATTATTACGATATCTCACCCCAGAGAGGGTTGCGGGGGTGGATACTAACAATGAAAATTTCTAATTTTCAAGCCATAGCTCCTACAGACTCCAAATTTTGTAAGAATTTTCTGTAAGTGATGAAAAAATAATTTATAAACCAATTTTAGGATATCTCATCCTACAAGGGGTTGCGGGGGTAGGTATTAACAATGAAAATTTTTAATTTTCAATCTATGGCTCCTACAGACTCTAATTGGGTAGGAATTTTCGCTAAGAGATGTAGAAATAATATCCGAACGAATTTTAAGATACCTCACAGGAGTTTGCGGGGGTGGGTGATAACAATTGAAATTTTTAATTTCCAAGCTATAGCTCCTATAAACTCCAAATTTAGTAGAAGTCTTCTATATATGATTAAAAAATGATCTAATAATGGATTTTACATCGAATGAACTCCAATAATGATCGTGGGGGTGAGTGTTAACAATAAAAAATCTTAATTTCCAAAATATAGCTTCTAAAAATTCTAAATTTGGTAGAAATTCTTTATCTCTTATGTAGAGATCACCTCAAAATAGATTTCAATAAAGTCTGATTCCGATAGGAATTGCGGAGGTGGATCTTAAAATCTAAAATTTTCCTTTCCAAACTGTAACTTCTACAGATTCCAAATTCGGTGAGAATCTTCGTGTATGATGTCCAGTTCAGTTAAAGGATTGCGGGGGCGTTGATAATGAAAATTTCCCGTTTGTAAAATATAGCTCTTATAGACTCCAAATTTAATAAAAAAACTTCTACATGTGGTGTAAAAATAATTTAAGAGCAAATTTTACGACGAATCACCCCCAATTTGAATTGCGAGGGTGGGTAATGACACAAAAAAAATCTTAATTTTCAAAATATAGCTTCTAAAAACTGTAAATTTGGTAGGAATCTTTTATTTGTCATGTAGAGATCATCTCAAAACGAATTTCAATAAATTCTACTTTTGACAGGGATTGCGGGGGTGGGTGTTAGAATTTAAAATTTCCATTTTCAAACTGTAACTTTTACAAACTCGAAATAAGGTAGGAATCTTTCATTTGTCATGAAGAGATCATCTCAAAACGGATTCCAAAAAATTCTACTTCCGATAGGTCCAATACCTGGTGTAAATTGGTGTAAATTGACAGATTAGCCCACAGAAATTAGCCAAATTGGCTGTGCCAACTGGAAGTTGATCGAAAAATTAAAATTTCTTGAAATTTCAAATCCAAGTAGGATATTATGAAATTCTAACGAGTATCTAATGGCGGTCTCAATTTGTTTATAAATAATAGGCAAACAAATAAAAAACGTAAATTAAAAATTAAATATCTCTGAAACTATTAATCTGGCGGGTTAAGTTTTCACATAGAATTTGTAGAGCATAAAAAAATCTACAACTTTGTTTTCGGGTAAATTTCTGTCAGACTTATAGTTTATTAGTTATTAACAATCGAAGTTTCATAAACAAATTGAGCTAGCAAGCTGAAAAATCAACCGATTTCATTTTTGATTTTTTCCACATATTTCTGGTAATAAAAGGAACATTTTAAATATTTTTCAGAATATTTATCTCAAAAATTTGATTTTTAAAAATCAAAAAACCGCTTTTTTTTTGGAAGCCAATATCTCCGAAACTAAATTTACTACAGCACTCGCACCTACTTTAAAAAATCTAGAATTTAATTGCGAAAAACTTGGCTATTTTGAAAAAAATTAATTTTTGATTGGGGTCAAATAATAGCGAGTTGAACGCGAGCGGATTTCCGATAAAGCGAGCGCGTTCGCTACCCGGACTGGTGGTAGAGGGGGAACTCAACAGTAGTGCTCAACTGATATCGGCTCCCCAAGCACGGTACAGTTGTTCTTACCTTATTATTCGTTTATTTATAAATAATATCAATTGTTATAATAATAAAATTAATAATAATTAATTTAAAAAAATTTTTAATAATTATTTTCTAAAAAATTTGACAAACTGAATAAATTTTTCTTTTATTTATTAACACTAATTATGATTACAAAAATAAATTTGTTGGAAGTACTTTAAAAAATATTTTTATTTTATTTTCTACATATTTTCTATGTTTGTTTCGTCTTCTTCATCAGATTCTTCTTCACTACGTTCATAAAAATCCGCGTATTTATTAGTGACAAAATATTCCTCTGTATCATCGTCAGAAATTGCACTATCTATCTCCCTTTCGATATCCATTTGAGTTTCAATGTCACCAAAATCTGGATCGAAATTTTCTGATTCCGAGGTAATTTCTGACGAATTAGAGCACTCATTGCCAACACAGGATTTACAAACAGGACTACACCGTAAACCAGCCTTCCTACAGCTGCAGCTTGACCCACATCCTTTCTTGCATGTACAGGAAACTAAATTGAGTAATTCTTCTGGAGCTATAGGGTCAGATGTCATGACAGGTATCAAGTGATGATTGTCAATATTCCATCCCCATGAATCGTAGCTAACAGGAATTGACTTCCACTCCAAGATTTGGCGGTATACTCTAAAGAAATGTTGTTTCGCAGCATTTAGAGTAGGTGGTAAACTCGCTAAATTAACCCCAGTCTTATTTTTCATTGACTGCTGCGAATGATGAATGTAACGCAATCGATTCAGGCTTTTTATTTTTTTCGGAGCATTGTATATAGCCAACAAAAACTCCTCACCGACAGAGCTAATTATTTCAGGGTCTTGTTCTGGCGTATAGAACAAATTTAATTTGTCAAATACATTAATATCTTTGGACACAAGTTTAAAAGCGGTTTTTTTGCCTTTACCAAAAATTGCTGAAGTCGTCCTGCATCCTGTTGCGGCATGTAAAAAAAGGACATATTCATGCAGCTGTGGATTTTTATTTTTTATATCTGCTGTAGAGTACCACTGTTCTTTACTTTTTACTCCTGAATATTTGACAAAAATGTTTTTCTCATTACAATTTGAAATAAGAAGTATTAAAATATCAGGATTTTGCGTTACAACAATCACATCAGATGAATTTATATCTGCTACTTGTATAGCTGTATTTGTAATGAATAAATCAACATTTTTTTCACACTTAACATTGATTTTCAATGCTTCTAGTTTAGATTTAAGCTGTTGAATCAATCGTGCCTTATTTTTTTCATTACAGAGAAATACATTTTTATTTTTATTCAACGGAATTACCCCACTTTCTTCGAACAATATTTCATGAGATGAATTTTGGCGCAAGTCAAGTATTTGCAAATCATCAGGGTCGTAGCTTTTAAACACTACTAAACAGTCACTTTTGTAATTCTTCAGTACATAATCAGTCGTTTCTTCGTATAGTTTTAAATAGGTCATATTCTTTTGCCATAGAATTCGAGTTAAGAGTTCTTCGCCATCTACTATGAATAATGCTTCAGATAATTTTGGAGCTTGAACTGTAGTAAACGCTGAAAATACTGTCGTTTCTTTGA